ACACCTGAACACAACGTCACACACCTGAACACAACGACACACACCTGAACACAACGACACACACCTGAACTGAGCAAAGACGGTGAAAACACAGTCCATGTGATGATAACTAAGAATAAACATGACCAAATAGCCCTGCCCAACACACACGATCATGTGGCCACAGATGTGCTGAATCAGCAGTTTAATATGTCAAGCATCATAAGATATCGGACTACACTTCCTCAAAAAGCCACGGAAACACACACTTTCCCTTAATCAGCTTAAAGGGATAGTTCACCCAAAAATGTAACCTCTGTCAGTAATGACTCTCCCTCATGTTGTTCAACCCCGTAAGACTTTCCTTCATCTTCGAACACAAATGAAGATATTTGTGATGAAATCTGAGAGCTGGATCACTCCTCCATAGGCTTCTGAGGGACTGAAACTGGCCGGCCCAAAAAGTTAGTAAAGACATTGTTAAAATAGTCCGAGTGACTACAGTGGCTCAACCTTAAGATTATCAAGCGACGCAAAAAAAACCCAAAATAACGACTTTATTCAACTATTCCTGTTTTTCTGTGTGGGCCTCGAGTGAGTTCGTGTAGTGCTGGGCTATTCAGCTGGCGGCCCCAGGGCCGGGTGTGGCCCCTGAGGGATTTGGTACCGGCCCTTTAGGCGTAATTTGCGGGTGGGACATGTCCCCACCACTTTTGCTAAGGTCGATATTGTCCCCACCACTTTTGCTAAGGTCGATATTGTCCCCACCACTTTTGCTAAGGTCGATATTGTCCCCACCACTTTTGCTAAGGTCGATATTGTCCCCACCACTTTTGCTAAGGTCGATATTGTCCCCACCACTTTTGAAACATCTTGCGGCTAGGCATGTGCCGGTATCAAATTTTCATGCTGCGATTAATTGATTGAGCTTTTATCACGGTATACGGTATTATCACGATATTTTAATTGCACAAGAGAAACAGACGGATTGGGGGTATCTAAAAAAAACTTGCATCACAATGTGTAATTGTGATTGTCAAAACATTAATTTTATTTTTTAGTGACAACATGTTATAATGTTTACATGGTTACTGAGGCTACTGTTTGTATTATTGCTTAACACAATTTTCATGATTTCAATTAAATTCTTGGATTTAATTTCAATCTTGATTCAATATTGACTCATTTGGATAAATATTAGGTAGGCTACAGTAGATAGCCTGCATTTAAATGTTTCTCAAGAAAAAATATATCTCACATAATGCTGTAAACATACAGAGAGAAATTAAATATAATGCATACAATATAAATATAATAATAATATAAATATAAAAATGTAATATGCCGTAATTTTCATTATAATAACAATTATATAATGACAAGTACATATATTAAAATATGTAATATAGTGCACATATTTAGCAAAATACTCCTCTCTATAGCTATTTTCTTATAGTCAACTAACATTAAATGGCTTTCCTGAGGTAAATGTAACGTTCTGTGACATAATTGTTCTCCTGCAGTGTTATTGACCTCTTTCCGTGGTTGAAAAACACTGATTGATCGAAAGTACGTACCTTTCGGTGGGTTGTACTGTATCTTTAATAAAAAGTAACAGATGATCGGTTTACTTGATCTGAGGCGCGCGATCTGTCACGTCACATTTACAAGCAGCAAAACAGTATTTATTGTCTGAATTTCGTTATAAAATGGACCGAACCTGAGAGCTGATATTTTTTTCATATCAAAAGTAACCTGCTCTGTCTAGTCTATCGGTGTCAGTGTCCTCTTTGCTCCGCGATTTTTCTCTGGGTGAGAAAATGGATGTGTGGCGCGAGACCGTGTGAAAGTGTCTCAAGCTGAATGCGTGAGAGTTGCCAGCCATGCGGGGGATAAATAGTCGGCAGCGTTCCTCCTTCCGCCGTGCTTCTTCTCCATGTGAGTATTGTTTACATTAGACTAGAGTGCGCACTGCATGCACACAGTGCTTATACATGTGATGTGGGGATTGTTTACATCAAAGTGCACATGTGTTTTGCGCAGCATATACGCATTGTTTTTTAAGCGGTTGATGGAAAATAAGCTGATGCGCGTTCTAAAAATCTAAATTCGGATCTATTATTTTTCACGGTATTTCGAAGTCCCCGCGATAACAATATCGTGCATATTCATTACCGCGATTTATCGCATTACCGAATACCGGCACATGTCTACTTGCGGCACGTGTTTTCTTGCGGATACAGTGTTCTCTTGGTCTTCTTGTTCTCTCGGATACAGTGTTCTCTTGGTCTTCTTGTTCTCTCGGATACAGTGTTCTCTTGGTCTTCTTGTTCTCTCGGATACAGTGTTCTCTTGGTCTTCACTCGGACGCGCGCTTCAATCCGTTGCGGAGACTCTCTATTCGTTCCGGTGAAATCACAAAACAAAATGCACACAAACGTGTCCCTGCCTGATATACAAGCACTGATAAACATAATCAGTTTTGATGAGAAAAAAACAAAACAATTCGAGTGTGGATTAGAACCCAGAACCTCTGACACGCTATGCAAAAGTTCTGCCACTGGACCATCAAAATACACTATTAAATCACTAACAACATATATTAGGCCTCATTACACAACAAATTAAGCCCAATGTACTATTTAAATGTTGTTCTGCATTTACAAAATAGAATATATTGATTCCTTCAGTATGTTGTTGTAATTTCTTTATTTGTTACCATAATTACTCATATTCTCCGGCCCCTTATTTTTCCTCAGTTTCATGAACTGGCCCCAATTCCAAATGAGTTGAACAGCCCTGTAGTGTAACAGCGCAGCGCTTCTGGGCTGTACGTCAAACGTAGGCTCACTATTGGCCGACGCTGGTCATGTGTGTGATGCTGGCCAATAGTGAGCCTGCATTCTGAGACACCCAGAATTTATCTTAATTTGTGTTCGAAGATGAAGGAAACATGATGTTGGAACAACATGAGGGAGAGTAATTACAGACAGAGGTTACATTTCTGGGTGAACTAACCGTTTAAAGAGCTGACGATCTCAGCGAGTCCAAAGGACTGAAGATACTGTGCACCGAACGCTTCATTGACTCTTCTGTGTGTGTGTGTGTGTGTGTGTGCGTGTGTGTGTGTGTGTGTGTGTGTGTGTGTTCAGCCTGAGCTCTATACTCAGTTAAAGCTCATAGTCCTGTGTGATATCAGAACATCATGATCTCAGTCTCTGCTGGTTTCTCTTCTTTATTCTGTGAGGTTCATCCCACCGCGTGTCAATACACACTTCCGTTTTTATTGTGATGAACATATCAATCATAAGTGTGACCGAGACAGCAGATCTACGGCTTAAACCCATCATCACTGTATACTAGACTATTCATTATTCCGGTAACGCTTTACAATAAAGTTAATTTGTTAACATTAGTTATTGTATTAACTAACATGAACTAACAATGAGCAATACATATTCATCTTTGGTAATGTTAGTTAATAAAAATACAGCAGTTCATTGTTCACGTTAGTTCACAGTGCATTAACTAATGTTAACTAATACAACCTTTGATTTTAATAACGTATTAGTAAATGTTGAAATTAATATGAACTAAGATTAATAAATGCTGAAGAAGTATTGCTCATTCTTAGTTCATGTTAACTACCTTATTTGTAAAGTGGCACCATTAGTTTTAGTTTATTTTTCCCCCTAACTTCATATATTTCTTTGCTGATTTATTGCATGTATACTGTCTGTTTCAATTCATTGTGTTATTGAAACACAATTTTCTATAGGCTATATTGTAATCATGTCCACAACTTGTAATAATTACTTCACTGAGCTCATTGTTTCTGCCTATATTCAGTGAGCATAACTTACGATCACCTCTGATAACAGATCACTCTGAATATCATGACAGTAGAAAGATAATAATATAGCTGCATATAAATATTTCAGAGCTGTTTTGTTCGCTGTTGGTTATATCACACGCAAGGCTATAACTATACTGACAGACAGCAGTGCATTAAATCAATCAATATTTAGTGCTAAACTGCTATCGGTCCAATTCTCAGTCTCAACCATACACTGTAAAACATGGTCTCAACCCAACACACACTCCGATCTCCTCTTTCTCGTGCAGTGTGTGTGTGTGTGTGTGTGTGTGTGTGTGTGTGTGTGTGTGTGTGTGTGTGTGTGTGATGTTAAAGCGAAGGAAGGGAGGACTCACCGGTCATGAGTGAAGAGACGACTGAGAGAATGAGGAAACACCGCAGTCACGCACGCACACACACACTCACACACACACGCACGCACGCACGCACGCACACACACACACACACTCTCTCTCTGAAAGAGAACACTAGCAGATAGGCTACTGTACTCTGGCTTTACTCTCATTCATTCACATGATAACAACACTAACGCCGTTATCATCACTCTGATTGTACACCGATTGTGCATATCGATCTTTAAGGGAAGCTTTGAATAATATACTGAATTATTATTCATTTTAAAACAATGTGGTTGAATCACAGTTATCGTCCTTAATTGTCAGTTCTTGTTGGATATAGCTTATGTTGACAAACCGATATGTTCCATAGTTACAGCTTCCAGTCTCCAGATTACAATATATAAAATGATCGGTTAATATTAGTTTTATTATTAATTATTATAAATTGTGACGTAATTGCAGTAAATATGTACTTGGCGCCCTCTCTTGTCCTTTAGTGAACGTGCATCCAGTTATTTTACAAGCAAATGTGAACTGTTAGACTGAATAATCAAATCTCGTATTCTTATTTGCATTTTCTCTCTTTAATTCATGTCATTTCCCCCATTGTGTCACTTATTCATTCCCTCGCATTGATGAGTGTGTTTTACTGACGCACAATCAAACTGATCGGATCTGGCGCTGTAATGGCGACAGGCAGCAGCATGTGCAGAGTGAGAGTGAGAGTGTTGTTTTTAACGTTTAACCGGTTTTAGTTTCTATTTTTAAAGTTGTTTTTAAGTGATCTGTTTGTGACGGCGATAATAATGACTCACCTCAGTTTGACGGGCTGTTTCATCCTCTTTACGCTGTTGTGCAAACTTTTGGGCCTACTCTATGAACACGAGTCCCTCCAATACACCCTTGAGTTTCTCCTGTTCCTGGGCATCGTGGACCCCTCGGCGGCTCTTCCACCAGAGATCATCCGGTCGGCAGCCGCCCCTCACGCAGAGAACCAGAGTTGGGCACCCAGGACAGGAGTAAGGAAAAGAGGGAGACGCGGCGGCGTACGGCAACAGCTCTTCCTTCAATCATCCTCGCCAACGTCCAGTCCCTTCGTAATAAAGTGGACGAGCTCCAGGCAAAAGTAAAGTTCCTTTCGGAATATAGAAACACCTGTCTCCTCGCCTTGACAGAGACGTGGCTCAAAGAACAGGACCCACTCTCTGATCTCGAGTGTGACGGGTTTGGGGAACCTGTCCGTCTTGACAGAGACTCCACAGTGACGGGAAAATCACTCGGTGGAGGCTTATGTCTTTACATAAACAAAAAAACGAATGCGGATTTAGCAACTCGAGCTATGGTGAAGTGTGTGCAGCGGCTTCAGGGGATTTCACCTGAAACACCAAACTTTATTATGGGTGATTTTAACAACTGTAAACCAGGGAAGTCCCTGTGTAACTTTTATCAATACGTCACTTGCGCAGCCCGACGGTCCAGAAGCCTAGACCTCTGTTATGGATCGGTCAAAGGTGCTTATAAATCCTGCAGCAGAGCTCCACTTGGCACGTCTGACCATAACTCTGGTTATTTGGTTCCGTCCTACAAACCGGAACGAAAATTGGTTCCGGTTTGGTCAGAGGACTCAATCCAGAGTCTACAACAGGAATGCTACGGTTGCACTGACTGGGATCTATTGAAAAATGAATGTAAGGACCTTGATGAGCTCACCGAGACTGTTTCTGCATACATTACCTTTTGTGAGGACTTAGTCATCCCTCGGAAATCCATTTCCATATACCCAGATAATAAACCATTAGTTTCTAAATCCGTCAAAAGCATAATCAATCAACGAAACATTAGCTTTAACCAAGGTGATATGACTCAATACAGAACACTTCAAAAGCAAGTTAAAAAGGAACTTAAGCTTGCAAAACTTAATTATAAAGACAATGTCGAGAACATGCTGAGCACAGGCAACTCACGTCCTGCATGGGACGGTGTGAAAGCCATGATGGGGATGCGGCCTAAGAAGTGTCCGATTTCCATAAATGGTATGTCAGATCTTGCCCTCTCTAATGAACTGAACACTTTTTATAACCGCTTTGATATTTATGATTTTAGTGAGGAGTTGTCAGTTTTTAATAATGTTGTCCCCGGGCAGTGTAAAGTCCAGGTTGACAGAAATAAGGTCCTGGCACTCTTTAGAGGTACAAGTGAAAGAAAAAGTCCCGGCCCTGATGGCATTGGAGGCCGTATATTGAAGAACTGTGCTGAACAGCTGGTAGACATTTTTTGTTTTATTTTTAAAATGTCCTTGCATCTTCACACCGTTCCTCGCATTTGGAAAGACTCTTTTATTTTTCCGGTGCCTAAAATTAAAGCTCCAGTGTCCTTCAACGACTTCAGGCCTGTGGCGTTAACGTCACTCGCTACGAAAATGTTGGAGAAGATCATGAAGGACGAACTTTTGAACTCTGTCCAAGATCTACTGGATCCGTTTCAATTTGCCTATAGGCCGAAGCGGGCTGTGGAAGATGCAGCCTGTAGTCTCTTGAACTTAATTCATACCCATCTCGAGAATGCAAAGAGCTTTGTGCGGCTGCTTTTTATCGACTTCTCTTCAGCTTTTAATTGTATCCAACCACATATTTTAGCAGGGATTTTGAAAAGTACATTTAATATCGATCCTTGTCTTATCTGTTGGTTGATGAATTTTCTAACTAACAGGTCTCAACGCGTGAGAGTGAATAGCATGTTATGTGATGTTCTCCTTTCCTCCACCGGCTCTCCCCAGGGCTGGGTCCTTACAATAATGACAAACAAAACAAGATGATAAAGAGTAAATATTAGAGATAATTCCAAACACATAAGTACAAAGACACACACACACACACTCACACACCCACGCACACTCCAACAATGCTCCCTGAAACTAGCCCCCCACCCCCTCACCAGCCAATAATGCACAGATTATGCACAGACAAGATAAAAAAAAAAATATATATATATATATATATATATATATATATATATAAAAAATATAGAATATAAAAAAAATAATAAAAATAATAAAATAAAATAAAAAATTAAAAATAAATAAATAAATCCCTCTACAAAAAATAGAGATAGACATTTGTACACATAAGCATACTATACACCCCCTTATAAATACATCCGCTTGCATGCACGAGTCAAGTATACAATCCATATTTGTGAACAAATACACACATATATAAAGTACACTGGACAGTGAGTAGTATGAGACCTAAAACAGTTCAGAAACACGAGCAAAGTGTTTGAAATTGAGTAATTAAAGATGATTTAAAGATATAAAGAGAAGTGATCGACCTTAGTGAGGAAGGAAGGTTATTCCAATCAGATGGAGCTTTGAATTTGAATGCACGACGACCAATTTCTTTACTGATTCTAGGTGTAACTAGAAACAGTTGGTCCATGTGCCTTAAGTTGTATTGAGAGCTGAAAGGAATTAAAAGGTCTTTCAGATATGACGGGAAATTAAAATGAATACATTTAAAAATAAGTGTTAACCAGTGGAGTTGTCTTCTGGTCTTCGGCATAGGCCAGTTCAATGACTCATACATTAGACAGTGATGGGTTCTATAAGGACACCTGAGCACAAATCTACAAAGACTATTATATAAAACTTTAAGAGGACGGAGATTTGCTCCAGAGGTGTTACCATAGACCACATTGTCACGATGCTGCGTGAGGCAAGTTCAAAAGAGTTCACGAAGGCAAGCAAATCCAAATAATAGCAGTTTATTCCAGAAGAAGACGGGAACACGCACACATACGGGTGATACAAACAATACCGGACAACAGACAGAGCACAAGCAGGAACTAAATACACAGAGATAATTAACAAATGACTAACAGCTGTGATGAAGGTGATTGGTGTCCATGGTGACTGATCAGTGGCGGGAAACACAGACAGGGAAACACATGTGAGGAGTGAAACTGTGACACACATCAGCATAGTCCAGTATCGGGAATATTAATTGGGTTATAATTCTCTTACGTACTTCTAGTGAGAAGCAGTCAGCAGAACGATAAAGTGATTTCAGACAACCAAATATTTTCTTAGTAATCCAATTAATATGAGATTTAAAGGATAGCTGAGAATCAAGCCAGAGGCCTAGATATTTGAGTTCTTCAATTTTTTCTATTGTTGTTCCATCAAAAAAGCTAATCGACCAGTTACTTAACATCGAAGGATCAGATCGAGTGTAAAACAACATGCTATATGATTTTCTCTTATTCAAAAGAAGCTTGTTCGAGGAAAGCCATCCTTAAACCAAATTGAAATCAGATTGGAGAGAGTACTGAATTTGAGAAATATCAGAGCTAGAAAACAGTATCATCTGCATATAAATGAAATTGACAGTCAGAACAGATTTTAGATAGATCATTAATAAAGATTGAGAACAAAAGAGGACCTAAGGATGATCCTCCTCTACTCTTATTAATGACCAAGCTATAGAAGTGGTGAAGCAATACAAATACCTTGGCATTATTGTTGATGACAAACTCACTTTTGAGCCACAAGTTGACGCTGTCTGTAAGAAATCACATCAATGCATGTCGATAAGACTTTTATGAGGATGTTTTATTGTTGTTTTATTGAATCTATTCTTTCTTTTGCCCTTGTGAGTTGGTTCGGGTCCCTCACGCTTAAAAACAGAAATAGGCTGCAATATTTAGTTAAAGTGTGTGGCAAAATTTCCAACAACCCTTCAACCGACCTAAACTTGATGTATGAGACAAGGACCCTTAAGAAGGCACAATCAGTACTGGCCGACCCATAGTCACCCCTTGAACAGATGCTTCATTTTATTGCCGTCGGGCCGCAGATTCAGTTTACCTAAATGCAAGACAAATAGACATAAAAATTATTTTGTCCCTTCTGCTATAGGTTTTTGTAATAAGTCAATGTGAGCTGTAGATTTCTGTGTAGTATGTATTTATTTAGATGGGTTTTTTTACTGTTTGTATGGCTGTTGTTTTGTATAACCTGTGTGTTATTTATGTCACATGCTGCTGCACAACAAATTACCCCTCGGGGTTAATAAAGACTCCTTGAACCCTGAACTCCAAACATGACCGGTCAGAAAAAACTAGCAAACACTGTATCCACCATACTTTGATATACCTCAGGTCTTGATACCATAAAAACTCTCAAATAATAATAAGCTATGCTATTGCGAACTAAAATATGTTTTAAAATTGTTTTGCTAAAGTTTCCTTTAAGTTATAAAAACATTAATTTTAGATTTTTTTTATTAACATTAAAAATGTCCCTTTTTTTAATTGTCAAAAAAATGTCTTGATTATGTGAACGTCAGGTGAACATTACATTTTTATCATTCAAACATAATGGGAATGTTACTCCTGAATGTTCTGTGTGTGTTCTGAAACAAGTACGTTCTAAAATTTGTTGGACAAACTCTAACTGAATCATTTCAGAAATTGAAACTCCTCCAACGATGAATAAATCATGTTTTTGTGCTAATGTTTTGAGAACATTAATAAAGACCAGATAACTGGATAGACCAGATCCAGATAAAATCTTGCCAAAAGGTTCTGAGAATATTGACACTATTAATGCTCAGGACAAAAATATATTCATTTTGTCACATTATATGTGTAGGCTACTGCTCCGAGACAGAGGTTCAGGATCCAAACGCAGTTTATCGAAAGGAAAATCCACAATCAAAGTCCACTAACAGGCAAAGGTCATACACAAGCTAGCAGTCCAAACAATAACAAGATACAGGGATGAGGGCAACAGAGAAACCCAGAAGATCAGGCAGAGAATCAGAAACCCAGAAGATCAGGCAGAGAATCAGAAACCCAGAAGATCAGAAACACAGAAGAACAGAAGAATCAGAAACCCAGAAGATCAGGCAGAGAATCAGAAACCCAAAAGAACAGGCAGAGAGTCAGAAACCCAGAAGATCAGGCAGCGAATCAGAAACCCAGAAGATCAGGCAGCGAATCAGAAATCCAGAAGATCAGGCAGCGAATCAGAAATCCAGAAGATCAGGCAGAGAATCAGAAACACAGAAGAACAGGCAGAGAATCAGAAACCCAGAAGATCAGGCAGAGAATCAGAAACCCAGAAGATCAGGCAGAGAATCAGAAACCCAAAAGATCAGGCAGAGAATCAGAAACCCGGAAGAACAGGCAGAGAATCAGAAACCCGGAAGATCAGGCAGAGAATCAGAAACCCGGAAGATCAGGCAGAGAATCAGAAACCCAGAAGATCAGGCAGAGAATCAGAAACCCAGAAGAACAGGCAGAGAATCAGAAACCCAGAAGATCAGAAACACAGAAGAACAGAAGAATCAGAAACCCAGAAGATCAGGCAGAGAATCAGAAACCCAGAAGATCAGGCAGAGAATCAGAAACCCAGAAGATCAGGCAGCGAATCAGAAACCCAGAAGATCAGGCAGAGAATCAGAAATCCAGAAGATCAGGCAGAGAATCAGAAACACAGAAGAACAGGCAGAGAATCAGAAACCCAGAAGATCAGGCAGAGAATCGGAAACCCAGAAGATCAGGCAGAGAATCAGAAACCCAAAAGATCAGGCAGAGAATCAGAAACCCGGAAGAACAGGCAGAGAATCAGAAACCCGGAAGATCAGGCAGAGATTCAGAAACCCAGAAGATCAGGCAGAGATCAGAACGGATCAGCAGAGATCAGACAGAGAAGGTCAGAAACCCGGAAGATCAGGCAGAGAATCAGAAACCCAGAAGATCAGGCAGATAACTGGATAGACCAGATCCAGATAAAATCTTGCCAGAAGGTTCTGAGAACATTGACACAATTAATGCTCAGGACAAAAATATATTCATTTTGTCACATTATATGTGTAGGCTACTGCTCCGAGACAGAGGTTCGGGATCCAAACGCAGTTTATCGAATCAGAAACCCAGAAGAACAGGCAGAGAATCAGAAACCCAGAAGATCAGGCAGAGAATCAGAAACCCAGAAGATCAGGCAGAGAATCAGAAACCCAGAAGAACAGGCAGAGAATCAGAAACCCATATCAGGCAGAGAATCAGAAACCCAGAAGATCAGGCAGAGAATCAGAAACCCAGAAGATCAGGCAGAGAATCAGAAACCCAGAAGATCAGGCAGAGAATCAGAAACCCAGAAGATCAGGCAGAGAATCAGAAACCCAGAAGATCAGGTAGAGAATCAGAAACCCAGAAGATCAGGCAGAGAATCAGAAACCCAAAAGATCAGGCAGAGAATCAGAAACCCAGAAGATCAAGCAGGGAATCAGAAACCCAGAAGATCAGGCAGAGAATCAGAAACCCAGAAGATCAGGAAGAGAATCAGAAACCCAGAAGAACAGGCAGAGAATCAGAAACCCAAAAGATCAGGCAGAGAATCAGAAACCCAGAAGAACAGGCAGAGAATCAGAAACCCAAAAGATCAGGCAGAGAATCAGAAACCCAGAAGATCAAGCAGAGAATCAGAAACCCAGAAGATCAGGCAGAGAATCAGAAACCCAGAAGATCAGGCAGAGAATCAGAAACCCAGAAGATCAGGCAGAGAATCAGAAACCCAGAAGATCAGGCAGAGAATCAGAAACCCAGAAGATCAGGCAGAGAATCAGAAACCCAGAAGATCAGGAAGAGAATCAGAAACCCAGAAGAACAGGCAGAGAATCAGAAACCCAAAAGATCAGGCAGAGAATCAGAAACCCAGAAGAACAGGCAGAGAATCAGAAACCCAGAAGATCAGGCAGAGAATCAGAAACCCAGAAGATCAGGCAGAGAATCAGAAACCCAGAAGATCAGGCAGAGAATCAGAAACCCAGAAGATCAGGCAGAGAATCAGAAACCCAGAAGATCGTCAGATAATCAGAAACCCAGAAGAACAGGCAGAGAATCAGAAACCCAGAAGAACAGGCAGAGAATCAGAAACCCAGAAGATCAGGCAGAGAATCAGAAACCCAGAAGAACAGGCAGAGAATCAGAAACCCAGAAGAACAGGCAGAGAATCAGAAACCCAGAAGATCAGACAGAGAATCAGAAACCCAGAAGAACAGGCAGAGAATCAGAAACCCAGAAGAACAGGCAGAGAATCAGAAACCCAGAAGAACAGGCAGAGAATCAGAAACCCAGAAGAACAGGCAGAGAATCAGAAACCCAGATCAGGCAGAGAATCAGAAACCCAAAAGAACAGGCAGAGAACCAGAAACCCAGAAGATCAGGCAGATAATCAGAAACCCAGAAGAACAGGCAGAGAATCAGAAACCCAGAAGAACAGGCAGAGAATCAGAAACCCAGAAGATCAGGCAGAGAATCAGAAACCCAGAAGATCAGGCAGAGAATCAGAAACCCAGATCAGGCAGAGAATCAGAAACCCAAAAGAACAGGCAGAGAACCAGAAACCCAGAAGATCAGGCAGATAATCAGAAACCCAGAAGATCAGGCAGAGAATCAGAAACCCAAAAGAACAGGCAGAGAATCAGAAACCCAGAAGATCAGGCAGAGAATCAGAAACCCAGAAGATCAGGCAGAGAATCAGAAACCCAGATCAGGCAGAGAATCAGAAACCCAGAAGAACAGGCAGAGAATCAGAAACCCAGAAGATCAGGCAGAGAATCAGAAACCCAGAAGATCAGGCAGAGAATCAGAAACCCAGATCAGGCAGAGAATCAGAAACCCAAAAGAACAGGCAGAGAACCAGAAACCCAGAAGATCAGGCAGAGAATCAGAAACCCAGAAGAACAGGCAGAGAATCAGAAACCCAGAAGATCAGGCAGCGAATCAGAAACCCAGAAGATCAGGCAGAGACCCAGAAACCCAGATCAGGCAGAGAATCAGAAACCCAGATCAGGCAGAGAATCAGAAACCCAGAATATCAGGCAGAGAATCAGAAACCCAGAAGATCAGGCAGAGAATCAGAAACCCAGATCAGGCAGAGAATCAGAAACCCAGATCAGGCAGAGAATCAGAAACCCAGAAGAACAGGCAGAGAATCAGAAACCCAGAAGATCAGGCAGAGAATCAGAAACCCAGAAGATCAGGCAGAGAATCAGAAACCCAGATCAGGCAGAGAATCAGAAACCCAAAAGAACAGGCAGAGAACCAGAAACCCAGAAGATCAGGCAGAGAATCAGAAACCCAGAAGATCAGGCAGAGAATCAGAAACCCAGAAGAACAGGCAGAGAATCAGAAACCCAGAAGATCAGGCAGCGAATCAGAAACCCAGAAGATCAGGCAGAGACCCAGAAACCCAGATCAGGCAGAGAATCAGAAACCCAGATCAGGCAGAGAATCAGAAACCCAGAATATCAGGCAGAGAATCAGAAACCCAGAAGATCAGGCAGAGAATCAGAAACCCAGATCAGGCAGAGAATCAGAAACCCAGAAGAACAGGCAGAGAATCAGAAATCCAGAAGATCAGGCAGAGAATCAGAAATCCAGAAGATCAGGTTAGCGAATCAGAAACCCGGAAGATCAGGCAGAGAATCAGAAACCCAGAAGATCAGGCAGAGAATCAGAAACCCAGAAGATCAGGCAGAGAATCAGAAACCCAGAAGAACAGGCAGAGAATCAGAAACCCAGAAGATCAGGCAGCGAATCAGAAACCCAGAAGATCAGGCAGAGACCCAGAAACCCAGATCAGGCAGAGAATCAGAAACCCAGATCAGGCAGAGAATCAGAAACCCAGAATATCAGGCAGAGAATCAGAAACCCAGAAGATCAGGCAGAGAATCAGAAACCCAGATCAGGCAGAGAATCAGAAACCCAGATCAGGCAGAGAATCAGAAACCCAGAAGAACAGGCAGAGAATCAGAAACCCAGAAGATCAGGCAGAGAATCAGAAACCCAGAAGATCAGGCAGAGAATCAGAAACCCAGATCAGGCAGAGAATCAGAAACCCAAAAGAACAGGCAGAGAACCAGAAACCCAGAAGATCAGGCAGAGAATCAGAAACCCAGAAGATCAGGCAGAGAATCAGAAACCCAGAAGAACAGGCAGAGAATCAGAAACCCAGAAGATCAGGCAGCGAATCAGAAACCCAGAAGATCAGGCAGAGACCCAGAAACCCAGATCAGGCAGAGAATCAGAAACCCAGATCAGGCAGAGAATCAGAAACCCAGAATATCAGGCAGAGAATCAGAAACCCAGAAGATCAGGCAGAGAATCAGAAACCCAGATCAGGCAGAGAATCAGAAACCCAGAAGAACAGGCAGAGAATCAGAAATCCAGAAGATCAGGCAGAGAATCAGAAATCCAGAAGATCAGGTTAGCGAATCAGAAACCCTGAAGATCAGGCAGCGAATCAGAAACCCAGAAGATCAGGCAGCGAATCAGAAACCCAGAAGATCAGGCAGCGAATCAGAAACCCAGAAGATCAGGCAGAGAATCAGAAACCCAGAAGATCAGGCAGCGAATCAGAAACCCAGAAGATCAGGCAGCGAATCAGAAACCCAGAAGATCAGGCAGCGAATCAGAAACCCAGAAGATCAGGCAGCGAATCAGAAACCCAGAAGATCAGGCAGCGAATCAGAAACCCAGAAGATCAGGCAGCGAATCAGAAACACAGAAGAACAGGCAGAGAATCAGAAACCCAGAAGATCAGGCAGAGAATCAGAAACCCAGAAGATCAGACAGAGAATCAGAAACACGGACACAGGAGAACCAGGACACTAATGCTCAGCAGTGCACTACTAACAGTAACACAAGACTTAGCAATGCGTGACAGAATAGACCAGGATGAAGATATTTGACCTGGAAAACTCTCGTTGTGTCTGCTGGGAAATCAATACTCGCTGGACGGAGGAAAAAGAAAACATAGATGCTCAACAGGGAAGGCTGTCATTAGTACTGTAAGAAAACACTAATTTTACCTGGTCAAAAACAGCTCTGTTTTCAGCACGCCGTTTCAGTGCATATGCCTTTAAATGATAATGAGCTTCGCTCACTCCGCCCCTCTGTTCTGGGGGCGTTTTGACACAAGCACGTGGAGTGTTGCCTTGACAACAGTTGAGGCGTGCAAGCGATTTGCAAAGATTAATATAAAGGTTAACCCTCTGGGGACCAGAGTGTTTTTGGGGCCCTTGGGATGTTTTGACATGCACTGACATTTGTGCTTTTTTCAGTTATTTATAAACATGTTAATGGCAAAGGTGTAAATTCACTCTATATAGCACAAACTTGGCTACCATGATATCTGAGCAACATGTATGTACATGTTTGTATTTTTAATAGAATAATGTTTATGCGTGGTTATTGAAAAAAATAAAAATGAAAGTTGCTGAAATAAGACCACAAAACACATATTGATTATTTCTTCACAAGACTTTTGAAAATTGTATCACATAGCCTAGAATATTTGCTCCAAAACTATGTGAGAATCATCCTGACTACTCATTCAGATAAGTCAATAAAGTCTTTTATAATGTGTATGACGTGTTTAGTGTGAGAAAGCTTTATGCAGGAGGCGTGATCTCTCATTAATATGTATGGCATTTCACACCAGAGAAAGACAAAGACCCTCCCATAATGGCCCTATTAGGTGCTATCAGGCCATATCATTACAGGAGCCTTGCACAAAGAATGAGGAGATTTAAAAAAGAATGGCTTTTAGATTGTTTGGATTTATATAAGGAAAATACAGGGTGCATACGTCTGGACACTTCTATCACACACCCTTCACCATATAGACATGGTTTTATTTCAGTTCAAAGTTCAAAGTTAGAGTTGGAAACATCTTGAAAAGAAAATTGTCTTTCTCCATAAATGTCTTAGTTTGATCATACATATTTCAAAGTTGAGGATTCATTATTTTGATATAGCTTGAACAAACACTATAACATCTTAGTTGATTAGTTTATTGACAAAACATACTATATATTTAACATATGAGCAGAAACTCCTAAAAAAAGCTTATTTGATGTCCATTTTAGAGTAAAAACTTTATCCAAAACTAGTCAACGAAATGTTGTCTTTTATTTAGTCTGTAACAGTACGTATCTGTGCGTTCATTCATTCATTCATTCACACACACACACACACACACACACAAACATGATTCACATTTAAACGGTATGCTATTTTTCCGTTTACAGACACTACGTTATTCTATATCGCGATTAGAACAAAGCACTTCCAAAAAACACTTACTTCTCAGCTGAATCTGTTCATCCTCGAAGTGAAAATAAACCCAGTGGTAAATGTCCCAGGATTGTTCCTCATATAGCCGCGCAAGACGACAGTAGATTAATCTGACTAAAAAATAATGTGTGTTTTCAGAGTTTATGGGCGTTAACGCGTCTCAATGTGTTGCTTCACATATTTGCGTTTGAATAGCGCGTGCTCTCCGTGGGCATGTCACATTACCAGAGATAATCAGCTGAGAGAACGATAATGAGACGGGCTGACACGTCTCCCTTTTTATATAGATGACATAAACGGAGAATATTAATTTTAGTTTTGAATCGGATCATTTAAAAGTACAAACTCAAATGATTTAAAAGATATATTGCTTATGGCTGGGTGAATAGTATTAGCTGAGTTGTGTGGAAGATTAGAAACGTGCTCCAGAAAAAAAGTTCACGGTGACCGAGAGGCAGAACGCACACCCTGTTTATTTACTTTATTTTACAAAAGCACAATATTTGATTTCGATTGTATGTGGGCACATAAAAAAGTAGACATTTACCAGATTATTTATTCATATTTCTTAACTCTATATGAACAGAAATGATGGTAGTACTTTAAGTCTATTTTTCTGCTATGTGAAAAAAAACGAGCAAAACGGCCGGCGCGTTTCTGGTCCCCAGAGGGTTATTAAAATTTTACACTCACTTCTTCTGGAGGTGCAGAGGGAACATAAATAGTTGCTACCGATTCTTTTTTCAGGAGCAGCTTCTTAGCAAAACCAGCTTTATACTGGCCCTCGTTTATAAAGCAGTCTGGTGAGAAATGATTCGCGCAAACATGAGAGCATTGACGTTGCTCGTGGGGAATATTCCCTTCGAAAACAAACTCAGCCACTGCTTCTTCAGCGGTTCGGGTTTAGGAACATCAAAATGACTGTGTTCGTTATTACACCCAAGAACAGAACACCACAATCGCTTAGACGCCATTCTGCGCATAGACAGTGCTCCAGCATATCAACAATGACCGCGCCGGTCCGCGCAGACTATGATTGACAGCTCGCTCACAGCGGGGATGTGTTGAAACGCTGCTGTCAATCAACAATCGTGGGAGGGGCTTCCAATTTAGTGACTTCACACGGTCGAACGGCTCGATTTGAGGCAGGGGAAAACATATAAGGAGATTTAAACAAAAACACTGGATGGATTTTTATCATTATATGATGGTTGTGTACAGGCAGTGCCAACACACATTTCAGTACAATCAACTTGAAAAAGTGCATGTACCATTATATGACCCCTTTAAAGACGTGCTTATCGTCTGGCGGAGCACACCTGTCTGTGAGCTACTCATTAGCTTATCCTATTATACGATCGCTGTAAAGACATTGTGTTGTTCTTAAGCCAGTTAATAATTTAATAAATAAGTTAAATGTTTAAAAAGCATTTCTAAGAGTTTCTTATAAGTATTTCATGTTTATTTGTAAGTTTTATTTAAAAAATATTAGCGGACAATTTTATTTCCTGTGCGGCTGCGCTAACTTCCGGTTTCGGTTTCATGGTAAACAGAGCAGGCGAAATCCAGCATCGTATGGTCAGCGACCTGTTGCCATTCCCTTTAAAGCACTGTCAAGGCAATGCCGTAAGTTTTTATATGTGTTTATAAGAATCTTAAGTAATGTATTTTTGTATTGTCTAGTTGGGAAATGCATTTTAAAGCACCGATGAATGACTTTATTCTCGTCTGTCTAGAGCTCAGTTTTTCTAAGAGCATGTTGTGTATGCTTTCAGTTTTCACCATCTGGAGAAGAAATTAAAATGCAAAAACGTCCCTTGTGGTCCTGGTCTTCTTCAGTGGTTTATCTACGTGTTCATTTGGCAACATAACAGTGAAAAGGCAGCAATCAGAGCTTCATCGTGGTCAAAATGGCAGCTAGCAACAGATCTGCTACAAACGCTTCAGGTCTTTCATCCTCATCTGCAAGCAGTGCCGCTCGTGCTCGAGCCAAAGCAGAAGCGGCTAGGGTAAGAGCCTCATATGCAAGCAAGGAAGCACAGTTAAAAGTGGAAAAAGTGAAAATCGACACAGAGCTACAGGTGCTAGAATTACAAAGAGAAGCAGATGCCGCAGTAGCTGAGGCAGAAGTGCTAGAAGAAGCAGAGGCAATACGAGATGGGCATGAGAGCCGAAGATCAGAATCAGATAGAGTTAAAAGAGAAAGAACATGTGAATATGTGAAATCTCAAATGGATGTGAATAAACATAATGCCCCGCTCCAGCCACCTGCAACCAGAGTGTTGAAATAGAGGGCACATTCATCACATGGAATCCTACTGAAAATGACGTTTCAGACGCAGAACCTTCACCTGTTAACACTAGGCCCCAATGCCACAACCAACACACATCCGTGGCTTTCCAAACCACATCTTCCTCTCCTATAGGTGAGACTAAACCAAAAAGTAAACAAACAAAGAACGCACTCAACCCATTCTCTAGCCCTTTCGTGCCTCCCTACAACTCACCTGCAAGTACGTCACACCAAGCAGAGCCACTTGCACAATATATGGCACGTCGTGACCTCATCACTTCAGGTCTATACCAATAGGATGACAAACCAGAGAATTTTAGAGGATCAGAGGAATTTTAAAGAGGATCATCATGACTGCTTTCCACCTTTCAGTTACTTTTGCTAGTTCATATGCAAAGAAGCTAAGAGACGTAACGATCCAAGCTTTAACCAACAGTACAGCCAAACCCAATTACATTTAGAAAGACCCAACCTGAGAAACTTTAGCTCCGCCAAACCCATCTCCGTAAATAAAACTAATATTACACCCCCCAACAAGGACTTTAAAAGCAACTGCCCGCTGCACAATAAGCCCCACCCACTCAATAAATGCAGGACATTCAGGAACAAACTGCTCGATAAAAGAAAGGCCTTCCTCAAAGAGAAAGGAATTTGTTTTAAGTGCTGTGCCTCGGACACTCATCTTGCTAAGGACTGCAAATCCACAGTAAAGTGCTCCGACTGTGAAAGTACAAGCCACGAAAAAGTAATGCATCCTGGCCCTCCACCTCAAACCTTCAAGGCTCCTGCTCCCGCTCAAGAGGATGGCGGGGAGGAAAAAACTGACGTTCTTCTTCTACTACACAGCGCGCGTCTTACAAGCAGAGGAAGACGCGCGCTGTACATAGTAGTAGAAGAAGAACGTCAGTTCTCGCGCATGCGTCCTGGAATTCTCTTGAACTCTCGTCTCAGGCCCACTAGGAAGCAATGTTATAGTCGAATAACGTCGTTATTTGTGTTTTTTTCCGCACAAAAAGTATTCTCGTCGCTTGATAAACTTATAGTGGAGCCACTGTAGGCACATGAAATATTTAAACATTTTCTTCAATGACTTTCTGGGACGTCAAGTTTCATTCCCTAATGAAGCCTATGGGGGAGTGATCCACCTCTCAGATTTAATCAAAAATATCTTAATTTGTGTTCCGAAGATGAACGAAGGTCTTACGGGGTTGGTACAGCATGAGGGTGAGTAATTAATGACTTA